ACCGCCTAAATTGTGAGATGACTTTCTCTCTGTGTGTTCATGTACATCTTTGACTGTGGTTCGAGTGAGCAGGTGGGGTAGGAGTGAATGAGAGAGAGTGTGTGTATTTGTGGGCTGTGATGCCCTTGGGACTGATCACTTTGTGTGTCGGCGATTGTTCTATTGTGGAATTGATTGGCGTTTTGGGGGTATTGTCTTTCCTTGGGACTGAAAAGGCGGCTATTGAATCAATTGTGTTTAAGAGCCGGGATCTTGCTCTGCGGGTTGTGGGGCGAAGACTGTGTTTGGGCGATAGCTAGGTTTTCTTTGAAGTGTAATAGAAGCCATTTTCCGTAAGAATGAATTCTGGTCAAATGGGTGATGTACAATGGATGCACTGCAATTACGTAGTTCTGGATGATAGTTAGATAGCATGACAGCGGATGTCGGCCAGCCTCCTAAGGGACTATATCTGGAAATTGGTATCAACTAATCAACTAATCAACTAATCAACCAATCAATTTATCATTCGAGTACGTACGTACGTACTGTACGTATCTGTAGTTAGTAATTCGGAGTCAACCGATAACGTTAAGTCAAAATAATAATGAATGAGTGGGCTGCTCGGTCTTTGCTCAAAGCCGAGGGGCGAGACTACTCGTACTAAAGACCGAGACACACCGTCGAACCTGCAAACGATCAGCGCGATAAGCTAATGCTCTTGGCCGGCCCCTCTTTTAGGTGAATCGTGATATGTAAGCCATTAGGAGTACCAGTTGAATTCATCATTTGCACCTCGCGGAACAGCTCTCCTCATTCGGCTCAAGGCTCGCTTTCCTGGTCGGAGTGGGGATTCCGTCTCTTGCTCAGTACCAGCTGCCATTTCCCCGACTTTCTCTCGGTCAATCCCTCCTCACCTTTTCGTCCCCCTCGTTCTTCTGCAACTGACACCTCAATTCCTTTTCTATGCCCATGCCTATCGCATTGACCAAGCCGTCACAAGCTTTAGTGAGAGTTATTCTCCGATACTTGTCAGTTCCCGTCGAATTGGCCTGCAGATCGCTTCCGGTTCCGCAGTAGATATACTCCGTATTCCGCAGCAACTGGCATTCAACTCGACGAAGTTCATCCGGCAATAGGAACACACAGAGAATAAGGATCGCATAAACTCGGGAGACTCATTAGATCGCAAGTCTTGATTGTTTCCATGGTCGCATACAGTCCTTCATCTAGTCCAGACCGACACCATGTCTGAATCTGGGCAGGCAGAGGAGGTCTCTCGAGAGACGTCCGGTCTATATCTCGACCGAAGCTCCGCGAGTTCGCATCAAGATATCGGAAACTATGCGACTGCTAGGAACCCGGAATTTGAGGTTGATGGGGATTATGCTCCCATCACAGGTCGCGTCACGTCACATGAGAGCCAGATGCGCCGAGTGCACTCGCGTAGCTACTCCCTGACTGATGGCTATAGCTATAACATGCCAGACGACGACGAGGTCGAGAAAATACCAAGTCGAAAGGAAGGGCTAGCTGCTGATGACCCTGATGCTTTCATTGTCGGCTGGGACGAGCATGACCCGATGAACCCGCGCAACTTCAACACCTTGCGGAGATGGCTGATTGTGATTATCTGCTCTCTAGGCTCGCTTTGCGTGTAAGTGTCCAACCCCGGGCCATGTATCTGATTAATGCTGATATGATCGTCTGTCTGAAGGACCTGCACATCGTCCATGTACACTGTCACCTACAGCCAGCTGATAGAGGAGTTCAACTGCTCTCGGCTGGTCGCAACGCTGGGGTTATCATTCTTCATCTGGGGCCTTGGTAAGTCAGTCCGATGTGTGAAGGACCGTCCCCTCCAGAGTGTGGGCAATGTTAACCTAGAATCCTTGAAGCGGTCGGGCCGCTTTTCCTAGCTCCTTTGTCCGAGGTTTGTGCAAGTCTCTGCTTCCTGTTCTGGGACCTGGACTGTCAGCGCGCATATACAGACAAATCGACTGACACCCCAGAAGTTTTATGGTCGACGATATATCTACATCTGCTCATTCTCATTCTTCTTGATCTGGCTCGTACCCTGTGCAGTAGCCAAAAATATCCAAACATTGATCATCTGTCGCTTCTTTGGTGGCATTGCTGGCAGTGCGTTTTTGAGTGTCGCCGGTGGTACTGTAGGCGACCTGTTTGCCCGCCATGAGCTCAGCGCACCAATGATGCTATACACCAGCTCTCCCTTCATAGGACCCGAGCTGGGTCCACTGTAGGTTTATTGGTCACTATAACATGACGCTGCAAGGCATGCTGACAACTCCAGTGTTGGTGGGTTCATCAACCAATTTACCAGTTGGTTAGCTTCCTTCCCTGCTCAACCAACGAATACTCTCGGCTGACTGTCCTGCAAGGCGCTGGACATTTTATGTCCTCCTGATATGGACAGGCATTCTGTTAATCCTGATTGTTTCCTCTGTGCCAGAAACGTATCATCCTGTGTAAGTGGCCTTTTCTGTATCGTACCTTGATCTTGCCCATGACCACCACCTGACATCGGTCATGCAGTTTGCTCAGACGCAAAGCCCGGAAATTGCGCACAGAGACAGGCGATGAGAGGTGGCAGGCGCCGATTGAAAAACTGCAACGTTCGGTAGCACAGACAGTTTTGCGGTCTACTTACAGACCGCTGCTCCTGCTGACCATGGAGCCAATGTGTTTGAACCTTTGCATCTTCTCAGCTATTCTGCTGGGTATTCTCTATCTGTTCTTTGGTGCATTCCAGCTGGTCTTCGAAAACGTTTATGGCTTTGAGCTGTGGCAGCGCGGTCTCTGCTTTCTCGGCCTCTTCGTCGGTATGCTCCTTGCCATTTTCACGGACCCATTGTGGCGCCGTAACTATGTCCGCTTGGAGGAAAATCACGAGAAGGCGACTGGGCAGTTGGATGACTTCCAGCCAGAGTGGCGGCTCCCACCAGGTATGTTTGCCATGCCCTAAGTTTGATCAGCTTCTGATGGCAATGATAATGCAGCAATTGCCGGGGGTCCCCTTGTAACCATCGGCCTATTCATATTTGCCTGGACAATTTATCCCCACGTGCACTGGATCGTACCACTCATCGGCAGTGCTTTCTTTGGAGCAGGGTAGGTTTCTGCATTGTGTGAGCTTCCTGCTTGTACCAATATTCATGCGCCCCTCGTTCAGACATGGTCTTTTTTGGAGCTTCTTCGCCTCTGATCAATTCTGACTCGTCGCTCTTAAGGACCATTCTCGTATATTCGGGGATCTTCACTTTTCTCGTTGACGCGTATCCGACCTATGCTGCCAGTGCCCTGGCCGCGAACAGCTTTGCGCGCTCTATCTTTGGCGGAGTTTTCCCTCTTTTCGGTATTCAAAGTAAGCCCCCTCTGTTTCAGCTCGAACGGAAAGCCTGGGGGTGGTAAATTCATGCGTAATCAAACCGAGTGTCGTCGTCTACTTCCAAGCCTGTTTAATTCCACGCTGAGATCTGCCTTCCTCGGAGGAAATGCATCCTGATCGCCGATCGCTGACACATGACTCCAGTGTACAATAACCTGGGCTATCACTGGGCAACATCGCTTCTTGCTTTTCTGACCCTTGTCATGGCACCATTCCCGTAAGTACTCCTTGTTGCGTGCTTGATGGTGATGTCTGTGTCGTCTTGTCTGCCTTCAATGCCAACTCTGCAATGTCGTTGGGCGGACCGCCGATGCCCCCTTGCATAGAGATCTGCAGCGGCGGCAACATGACATGTCTGACGCCTGAAAGCACATCTACGTCTCCTTCTTTCTGGCAGCAATCTTACTATCCCTGGAGTCACTCTGGCTATGAGTGCTGACTGTAATGCTTCTTTTCCTCTGATTAGGTACATATTCTATCTTTATGGCAACCGCATTCGGAAGAAGAGCCGATTTGCTGCATGATCGTCCCCACTATATCCTCAAGAATTTTGAAGATGTAGACATCGTCCTACCAGAAAGCGCTTTGCTGGCTAGATCTGGTCGATGAAAGACAATATCCAATAAGTTCTTGGATGATGCATACGGAACAATAATGACGGCCTGCAGCAAACACTGGTATTACTATTGCAGAGCTTGTTTCTAACGACCGATGACGACCCGAGGCGCTGGGGCGACCTTGGCGGTTCTAGCTGATAGATCACAGCCGCCACAAATCAATTCTAGAAATAAATAGAGATTCTATGGTTTAGCTGGACAGGTTAGAGTCACGTCACACCGTTCTTCCAGCGGACTAATTCTCAGTGAACACCGGCTTCCATCCATCCATCCATATTTACATTGTCAGAACTATACTTTGACGAATCCATAAAATCCCACACTTCCCAACCAACTTCTATCCTTTCCCCTACCTTTGCAACGCGCAGAATAGAAAGTTACATCATTTTTAATAACCGAGGCACACTGCACCCATGTCAACCTCGATTTGGTACCTGACTGAGGCTTCAGAGCAAAGAGCAACAGTCATATCGGGCAGAATCGGGCGACCAGGGCCAACCCAACGGGAAAACCCGGGGTAAGACTTATACAGTCAGGATATGATTGGTGCGCCGGTTCATCTTTGAGGCATTTGTTTCCTCTGCAGTCTTGCTTTTCTTTTTTTTTTCTTCTTTTTTTTACTTGTGTTTGCTTTTCTCGGTTCCTGGGAGGTTAGAGGCTTACACGTGGGAGATTTCTGATACTAAAGCCCACAGGAATGCATAGGAACGGAGGACATTTATACTCAGGTAACGTACGGTACAGGCGGTAGTAAACCGGTAACTTCGAGGAAACTGCGAGGGACGCTCCAATTACTCAGACAATTGTATAGTTAGGTCAACAGTGAGGAATATCTGCTTCAATTGGGCGATTGGGATGGTAACATGTAGTTCAGAGTGTACTTACTGTACTACTAGGTACCCTAGTACCTTACACTATAGAAGTGTCGAGCTCTCTCATCTATTGAATGTTCTTTTCTGATGATCATGGAATAGTGGCGGTGCAACACGGGAGATCAGATCCGTATCTCGAGTACTAGATATAGTTTTGCTGTTGGAGAGTGATGATGTCTTCCTCGAGTGTCACATGCGACAGCCATTTTCATATCTTGACATCTGCACATCTGCACATCTTCACATTTTCACATGGCTGGACAGCTCTCACAGTCCCAAGCCCCTGAGCAAGCAACTACTCTGGCTTCATCCTCGAAACAGACCGCAACAACATCCTTTTCATCTAAAGATCGGTGAGAGTTGAGCGACACGCGACAGTCTGATAGACCGATTGCTTGCATGCATGCATGCAGAAGTGTTCTGGTATCTAAATCTGGTACGGTAACCGTACCGAAACTCCAACCAACCGACGCTTCGATCGCAGCATCCTTGACGCCCTCGTGTCCGTCGGTTTTTCCCTTGTTTCTTTTTTCTGTCAATTCCCTCATTTCTGTCGCTAACTCACCACTTCTTCTTGTTTTCTGACATTCTCACCCCCGCGTTTTATCCTTCTACTGCTCTTCTCTCCCCCCCCCCCCCCCCCCCCCCCCCCCCCCCCCCCCTCCTCTTGAGTGTTTTACCCCTCCTGTTGCAAATCCCCTCTCTCCCCTCTCTCCCCTCCTCCTGCTCCTCCCCCCGGGTTCGGTGCCATATACCTCCTCCCCGACCGACTCTGGATGCGCGCCTGTTCTTGGGTTTTCCCCGCAGCCTTAACAAATTGAGCCCAGTCTTCGCTCTCCACTTCAACTTACCCTACCACAATTACGAATTAACGATCCTTTCCCACTTCCTTCGAATTGTCGCTCGCGTGACTGTGAAAGTATTGTTGGGATCTTAGTCCTATACAGCAATCTCAATACTCTCGTCGCATTTGACCCTTCTCGATCGAATTGCGGACCACCTCGTCATCTTACCCTCGGTGCCGCACGCAAGTTTCCTTCAGCTCTCCTCTCCTCCGCCCGTCCGTCCTCTACAACCCTCCGTTTTGCGGCCGATTCCGCTCTTCGTTCTGTTCTCGCACTTCGACCTTTTTGTTGAATATACACCGTCCGTGCTTGGATTTCATGCGCCTAAACCACGAAACAACCACATACCTGCTCTTTCCAGATTAATTCTCTGGAGGACGCCCGGGAGATCGTACTCGAAAGGGGAAATACCGTGGCGCTGAGGCTGTGATTCATCCTCAGCTATATCGCTCACGTTCGAACATTGACGTGGCAAGGCTTCCTCTCGACAGGAAACTGCACGTGCGCAACTCGGCCTCACCGTAAACCGACTTACCGAGTCACCGCTCCGTCGGGCTATTCATGCCGAAATGGACGTGGACGCCAAGGAGAAGAGCTCCCCAGCTCCTTCGGTAGAGCCGACTGGACCCAATCACGACATCAGGTCGGCCGATGAGCAGTCGGAAACCCCCAGGACGGAGGTGAACGGCGATGAGAAGGACAAAGGCGTCGTGTCGCTTGGGCAAAAGGCAGCCAATGCAAAGGACCCGTCGAGGCCGCGGAGGAAAAAGGCGCGCAGGGCTTGTTTCGCTTGCCAGCGGGCGCATTTGACTTGCGGTATGACTGACCTTGTCTTTAGCTTTCCTTCTCTCCCCCCCTCTTGCATTGGACATTCTCGTGCTTTTCTTCGTATACAGCTGCTCAGGCGCTCTAATTCGCGCTTCCTGAGTGACACGTCGCGGACTAGCGAATGTGTAGCTGGATTAAGGACGTGCAACTAATCGAGCTTTTTGCGCACAGGTGATGAAAGACCCTGTCAGCGGTGTATCAAGCGTGGGTTGCAAGATGCATGTCAGGATGGGGTCCGGAAAAAGGCGAAGTACCTCCATGATGCGCCCGACGGAGCCTTGATGCCGGGTATCGGTGGAAACTTCTACAACAATCCCCTGCGCAATAATAGTTTGCCGTTGTCAAGAAACGGCGCCAACGCCGTCAACGCGGCCGCGCCGCCGAACTCTGGAGCCAACTTCTATCCAACTCCCCAATCTACGTCCTACAATGTCTACCAAGAGAACCCAATGAACCAGGCCTCGTTCCCATCGCAGTCGCCCGTCTCACCGTCCTACAATCTGAAGGCCACTCCTACCGTTCGAAACAGCAGCCTTCCGTCAGTCAATCAACAGCCAACGACCACGAGTGCTTCGGGTCCGCCTACCCAGAATCCCAACCCGTTCGCCGGTCCATTCTTCGATCCCAGTGACCCCGCCTTATTCAACTTTGATCTTTCTAGCATGAACTTCGAAAACCGGTACGGTGCGCTGGAGTTTGGTATGCTGGGACACATGGCGACAGGTGCTGGGGACTCGCCTAGCGATTCAGCCACGCAGCGCGGTTCTATGGGTCGCAGTGGCTCTGCCCAGTTTGCGTCGACTCCAATCACCGGAGGGCCGGGGTTCGGGGAAAGTCCCGGCAACCAGCAGCCGTTCATGTTCGGTGACCCGCTATTAAACGAATGGCCGAACAGCCAGGCTCCGGGCAAGGCGCATGTTAATGTTCCCAGCGTCTACCCTCAGTCTAGTCAAGGGAACGTGATACCCGGACACTTATCCAAAGCTGATGCGCCTCATGCGTTTGCGATCGAAAGCGGCCCGGGCCATTTCAACAGCCCTGGCGCAACAACTAGTCCTCAAATGACGAGCGGCTTCGAAGAGTCTCCGTTTAGCGCCGCTGTTGCTAGTAAGGCGAATGGCCTGGTTCCAACCAATCAACGACCCGCCATCACGACACCCAGTCTGAAGCACCAGAATCTGCATGTGGGAGTGCGCCGGCGACAAAGGAATCCATCCTCGATCTACGAGAGTGTAAAGGAGCCCTACGCATATACTAGTCGCTTCCACAATCTCACTGCCTTCATTCAACGGAGATTCCCTCCTCAGAAGACCTTACAAATCGCCAAGGCGCTGGCATCAATTCGACCCTCGTTCATCGCGACAACAAAGACGTTAAACAGAGACGATCTCATTTTCATGGAGAAGTGCTTTCAGCGGACCCTTTGGGAGTACGAGGACTTCATCAACGCTTGCGGAACGCCTACGATTGTCTGCCGTCGGACGGGTGAGATTGCCGCGGTGGGCAAGGAATTCAGTATTCTGACCGGGTGGAAGAAGGATGTGCTTCTGGGCAAGGAGCCAAATTTAAATGTGAATACGGGGGGCACATCGGTTCCAAGCTCAGGGGCCTCCTCCCGCAGTTTCACTCCGCGCGGGTCTGCGGGCGAGAATCAAACCCCAGGGCGGCCGCACCCCGTCTTTCTTGCCGAATTACTGGATGATGACAGCGTGGTGCAATTTTACGAAGATTTTGCCCGCTTGGCGTTCGGAGACTCCCGTGGCAGTGTGATGCGGACATGCAAATTGTTAAAGTACAAGACGAAAGAGGATATGGAGTTGGCATCAGAAGACAACCAACGATGGAACAATCACCTGCGTAAGGGTGGAATCGCTAGCGAGGCTGGAATGAATCAGCTGGGGTTCAAGGATGGCAAGGTTGACTGCGCCTACTGCTGGACAGTGAAGCGCGACGTATTCGACATTCCAATGCTGATTGTGATGAACGTGAGTTTACCTAACCCTGATCTAACTTTGGATCATATGCTAACACTCCACCAGTTTCTTCCGTGCATCTGATTTGTGCATGATGATTGAATGGTTGTCAGAGTCATGGCCCATACTGCATACTTCGAGATGTTTATTGCTTGTCTGCTATTTCTGCTTTTCCTCAGTACCATACCCCGGCCGGATTGACACCAAAAGTAACCTTAATGAGCCTTGATCTGTTTTTGACGTTCTTTTCATGACGGCTGTATTTTTGGAGGCTGTCTGGTTTGTGACTTTGTTCCTTTCTGTATCGGTACATATTGATGCACCGCATGATTCCCATGGAGCCTGCTCTTATTTTGTGTTTATTAAGGTGGGATTTGCGATAGAGTGGTGGGTGGACGTATTTCATTGTTGTGGATCATACCTGCAATCCCTTGTTTTCCTCCTCACGGGGATTTATATCTGTGCATCATCTTATCGCGATCTATATGTGAATTGAAGCACATTCGACAGGGAGCGAATTCAGGAATGAGAACGATTATCGAAGTGAAGGAGTGCGTGAGGGGACGTTTCATTACAAATGCATTAATAGCAACAAGAAATACTCTCTGTACTCCTCGTAAGCTGATGATTTTGGTCATGTAGTGAGCTCGAGGCCTTGCTGGGTTGGCTGGCTTGATAGCACGACTATGGTTTGGTCGATAGACTGGTCTACGCACGTGCCGGTTTGGAAACCCAGCTTTAAAACAATTTCTACCCAGAACAAAGCAACACATCTTGTCACAAGCCGAGCGAACATTGTGGGATTCGACATTTAAGCCAATAAACTGTCTAAACCCAAGCAAAAGCGGAGGGGGGTCCATGGGTTCTAGAGAGCAAAATTGCTAAAGAAAAAAAGCAAATCGCAATCTCCCCCCAATCCACTAAGTAAAACACCCATCTCAACCACTCCCAGCCAGTTCCCCCCGAGCCTACCCGCAAAGCCAGCTAGCTCCTGCACGCATACCGAAGAGGTGGGGGAGGAGACATGGAAATCAATTCCCCGTTGGAACAATCATAAAAGGCCGGATGACGCATGTTCGTCATTTTCACCAGTCCACCACACAGAACAGGGGAAAAAAAGGATTGGCCCCGCTAGTTTACAGCATAAGTCTCTCGACCTTGTCCTTGAGGGTGCGGATCTGGCCCATCAGGTCACTGGCCTCGTTGGTGGTGATGCTGGCGGCGATGACGGGGCGGGAGACACCGCAGGCACGGCCGAGAGCGAGCTTGCTGGGGACGAAGACGTAGACGCAGTTCTTGTCCTCGGCCAGAAGGGGGATGTGCATGACGATGGCGAGCGGGGAGGTGTCGGCGGCGAGGATGACCAGTTCGGCGGTACCGCGGTTGAGGGTCTTGGTGGCTGTTGTGGGGGGAAGGGTTGGGTTAGTTGGAAGGTTGAAGAAAAAGATGTAGGCGCGATTGGGAAGATGCTTCAAGATGGGAGATCGTGGAGATGCTTACCCTCGTTGGCTCCCTTCTTGAGCTGGCGGTAGTGGGAGGCCTGCTGGACAAGGTCCAGAAGGCTCTGAGTCAGGCTCTCGTCGGCCAAGGGCCAGGCTGGATTATCGTCAGTGTATGGAAATTTTTTTCTTATGGCTTGGGAGCGTTCTTACCAGCAGAGGTATCAGCCATGGTGATAGATGGGGAAGATCAAATAAGAAGAAGGACGGAAGATGTCGTGAGAGATTTCAAAGAAGCAGGCTCACGCAAAGGATCACTGCCGCGGTGCAGGTCGAGATGCTGGAGAGAAGGTGAAGGGAGAAAAAGATGGTGGTTGAGGTTTCAATCCTCATGGGCTTTCCGAGCTGCGGAAAAGAAAATCTTTGGAGGGCGGTCACGGCGGTGGGGCCGGCAGATTAATGGGGACGGAGGAGTCTAGAACCGAAGGGGAAAATCTCAGTGTCTGAGATTTCAGGCACCCAAGGCGGCAGCCACGCATTAGTTCTGGACTTTTGGCGCTAAGTTAGTTAACTAACTTACATAGTAGGGGCTTGGGGTCTCATGCGAGTAACTACTGTACAGTACTTTACTAGGCACCTTAAGAGGTGTTCAAACAGCCACGATGGTCTGGGAGCATTCAGAGACTGGGTCAAGTGGCTACCTCTGTATCCAAAGATTTCCAGCCTCCGAGCATGCATCAATTCGACACACCGTCTTGCTCCTAGGACGTAGTTTGAGGTCCGAATTCCCGTACTGTACTATACATGTGTATGGCACGAGCTAGTGCTTTAAGTTGTATATTCGGTATAGTGCATATCGAAAAAGATATAGAATCCTTGCCTATGATTGCACTAAGTCACCGCAACCAACGACTCGCAAGTGGATGTTATGACTAGCTATAGCTAAGGCGAAACTGGCAAGAATATAAGCTATCGCACTAGTTGGCTAGCCTTACGCAGGCCGCTCAGGGGGGGAGCAGGGACCACTAGGCATACAACTACATGATCTTCACCGGGCTGATCCACTGACAACGTATGATGCAGCCGGTGGGCGATCGTGGAGACATGGACTAAGCATTCTGGGGCCCTAGGGCCCCAGGGCCTCAGCTGCACAAACCTCTATCCATTCAATCGTCCCAGGTAGATACAGTACAGTGGTATTATTGCTACAAACTTCACACATAACAATGACGTCTGCACGCCGCATTCCATAGGTTTGCCGCAACAGCCGCAAGTGGCCGGCAATCGAAATGATTATATTGATAGCAGTGACTAACCGGTGCATCGGAATTGATCCCAGCCTGAAATAACCCATTCTGTACCACTTTCTACTCCGGACTTCAGCCAAGCCAGAGTTTCATTCAATCTACCCGCCGGCAACCCTTTCAGACCCATGAATGAATAAGAGCGATCATCAAACCCAGAGGAGAACAATAAACGCCGAAAACCCCACAACCAACCCATGTGAACACGCAACCAGCTGCCGGCAAAGGGCATGCGGAGAAAGCGATAAAAAAAGCATATCATCACGTCATTCTATACCATGCTGCTGTTTGAGACGTTCCAAATTCTCTTGCCTTTCCGCCAGGTCCTCTTTCGATTTAAGCATTTTTTCAGGCTGATGGTATAGGACTAGAAGTCGGAGCAGCGAATGTCAGCCGCGCAATCCTTCTCGTCCGATGACCGTTCCGATTGCCCACCGCATGGAGAAAACATACCAACGAGATATCTGTTCTGGAAATTGAAGCCATTGAGTTTATCGCATGCCTGTTTGGCGTCGTGAACGTCCTCGTATACCACAAAGGCAGTGCCCTTGGAGTTGTTTGCGATTCCCTGACGTATTTGTCTGCCGGAGACAGCGTTAGTTGCGGAGTTGACGCTAATTTGGACGATCGCGCGTGAGTCACGGAGAGGCCTACCGGATGGGACCGAATTTGCCAAAGAGGTCGAAGAGTTGCTCCGCTGTTACGTTGTAGCTAGATACGGACCCAAGTCGTTAGCATTCATGTCGTGATTGACGAAACCATATGTCGCGGAATGTATCCGTTTGAATGGCGATGCGACGATCGACAGGCGGGTTCTAAAGATTCCGAGTGCGAGGAAAGGCTTACTTGAGGTTCTTGACAAAGAGAATCCTGGAGGCCCGTTAGTCATAGTTTGAACCAGATCCAACCTTCCAATAGAGACAAGAACGCATGCCCAAGGCCCCTGAAGCCCAGGAGCGAAGCGGGAGACTATGGCGGGCTACCGGAAGGGGAGGGGTAGAATTGTTCGAACAGAACCTACCGATTGGCTTCGGGGGCGAGCTTTCGGCTCATTCTCGGGTGGGACAGTAGATGCTGTAGAAAGACGTGAAAGAAGGAATCAAGGTCGAGTCAGATACCCAACGGGGGTCTGGAGGAAGCTATATGAGAAGGAAGAGAGGAGAAGAAGGCAAGAGAGGAACAAGAGAGAGGGAAGCAATATCCGCGACGAGCACGAGGTTCGGGAGAGACTGGGCTGCCTTGCCTGATCGGGATTAGTCGCCTCGGAGGAGGAGCCTCACTTTTTATGGGAGTTTGATGATAGTTGACTTCCTACAGCTCTCATAACAATAGAAAAGATGCAATAGAATATTTATTTAGCTTCAGAGTTAGGATATGACCTTTTGGAATGGTGCTAAAGTACTCCATAGTCATATTCTGGTGCCGTAAACGATTTACTAGGAAGGAGTAATTTACAACAGCAATACTTTTTTAGGTAGGATGACTGCCTGAGGCAGACAGCAGAGGACTCTCTCTCTCTCTCTCTCTCTCTCTCTCTCTCTCTCCCCCCCTCTGTGTGTCTCTACGCCGGGCGCCTTGTCGCCCTCCTCCGTCCGGCGACTCCCTCCTCCTCCTCCCCTCTCCTCTCCTCTCGGCCTCCATCGCCGCCCATCGTCCCTTGCCAAACCCCTCCTCCTTCCTCCTCCTTCTCCGGCCTTATCTTGAGGCGCAACTCTTCAATCGCTAATTTTCCTTTATCTTCTATTTCTTGAATTTGCCGTTTTCTATCTCCGCTCCGCACCCTACTGTAGTGCAGCTTTCTTCCGTTGTCTGCTTTCTTGCGCGCGCGCGCTCTCTCTCTCTCTCCCGCCCGTCGGCAGAGGCTCGCTCAACTTCCCCCCCTCAACCTCCGCCGTGCGACTCTGCTCTGTCGACTTCCTCTCTCCCCCGTCTCCCCCCACCACTTCTCCCCCACCAACCTTCCCATTCGGACTTCTATATTCATCTCATTATTCCTCGTGCGAATCCCATTCTGCCAGGAATGACTTTCTCTTTGCCTGCGGTGGCCCGTCTTTAGCCCGTGTGGTCAAATATCCCCGCTTCGCACCCGTCTGCCGCAAGCACCTTTTCTCTCCTCCGGGCCTCTTCTCGCTCCTTTCCCGCTCGATTCTCTATCTTCAGGCCTCATTATGATTAGTGCAACATCCTTTTCTACCCATCTCGGGACTCGACCACCGCGTTACCGCACTCCCTCACCTCCGCGACGCGCCGTCGAGCCGATTTCACCCTGCTCAACCTCCGACATCCGAGCCTCATGGATTGACCGCAGCATCGCCAGGGTGGCTGCCTCCGATCGTGACCAATACCCCCCGAACCATGCCGGCTATCATGCTGCAGATCATTCCGCTACTCATCGACCGAGTCATGGCAGATCGAGTTCGACCATCGACGCTCTCGCGACCATCGCTCTAGCCACCAGCCCTACCTTCGCACCTCTCTCCTACCGCCCCCCTTCTCAAAACTCGACACCCGCATTGTCGCTTTTCCCCCCCGAACCCATTGAATCCTCCGAACGTCCCGCCAAGCGACCGCGCTCAGAAAAAGATCAATCGCCGTTCCATTCCCACCGGTCGCTGCCCGTGCACGATGCAAATTCTTCTGCGGTGCTTGATAGCATGAAGACGGATGCAGAGCTTCTATTGAACTTTGCCCGACCCAACTTCCAGCCTACCATTCAGCCCGCCAAACGAGTCAGCATAGATGAGCACGCTCTTTACGCCGGAAGTGAAACACAGCGTTTTGATAGGATTGGGTCCGCAGTGGGATCATGGGCCGCTCACACCGAAATCTCTACCCACACCATTTCAAGCAATAGCGCTCTTCCACCATCTCGAATGAGGTCACAGTCCGATGGATCAGCAGCCATTGCGCGACCAACAATACAAGGCTTGCGACCTAACACCAGTTCTTCAACTCTTCCCCCGATACTCTGGCAGGATGAAGAGGTTGCGGAGGATGATCACTGGGGTTCAGCAAACAAATACATCTTCAGTGGCACACAATCCAATCTTCAGGCTGCCGATGTTATGCGCGGTACCCATGCAGGACCGATGCCGACGGACCTGCCTCCCAAGACGGAAGACGATACGGAGTCGGAGGAGTCAGGTCAGGCTAGCTGTGCTGCTTGTAATCTCGTCCGCATACCAATAGACACTGGAGAGCAGGGTGATGTGACGTGGATTAGTTGCGACGGCTGCAAGCGCTGGTATCATATCGTCTGCGCTGGGTTCAAAAATGATAGAGAGGTGCGGACTGTGGATAAGTTCATTTGCCGCGCCTGTGGACCCTTGCATGGACGGACGACATTTGTTCGAAAGTCATCTCGCGCCCGTACCGCAATTGACTACGCTGGTCTGAACCAAGGGCTTGTCAAAGCTGCAACAGACTCACTAGAACATCATTACATTGAACCTATTCGCCAAGGCAAGATCCGGTTCCTCCCTGAGAATTTCCCCCGCATGCGCCCGGAGCTCATCACGGCCGAGTACTTCGAAAGAGGCAGTGGCATGACAGAACCGATAGTCATCCCTGCCGAGTGGAATACTCGCAACTCGGCCCCGACGCTTCCTCCGGACTTGGACGCTCTAGCGCAGGAAGCGCCCACGCAAGAGATGTTTGATGAACTCCTAGATCATCTCGATGCGGGCGAGCAAAGCCTTGAGCAAGTGGTAGACTGCGGCCAGGATCAACTGGACATGGTGATACCACAAGGCTTGACGGTTAGACAAGTGGCCGAGCTCTACGGACCCGAAGAGAGGGTCGAAGTCATCGATGTCAAATCTCAACAAGGAGAGGACAAGAGATGGACCATGCAAAAATGGGCTGATTACTATGAGAGCACTGGTGACAAAGTAGTGCGAAATGTCATCAGCTTAGAGGTCTCACAGAGTCCATTGGGCAGGCTCATCCGACGACCAAAAGTGGTTCGTGATCTGGATCTGCAAGATTCAGTCTGGCCCCGTGAACTTCAAGCAGTGGGAGACTACCCAAAAGTACAGTTCTACTGCTTGATGTCTGTGGCCGACTGTTACACCGACTTTCATATTGATTTTGGCGGGTCGTCCGTCTACTATCATATTTTGAAAGGCAAGAAGACTTTTTTCTTCATCCCGCCAACGGACAAGCATTTGAAGAAATATGAGGAATGGTGCAATTCGCCCGCACAGGATACCACCTTTCTCGGTGACCAAACCAAGGAATGCTACCGCGTGGACCTTGTTGAAGGCGACACAATGTTGATTCCCTCCGGCTGGATCCATGCTGTTTGGACTCCGGAGAATAGCCTGGTCATTGGTGGTAATTTTCTGACGAGGCTGAACTATGGGATGCAGATCAAGATTGCAAACATTGAGAAGGACACAAAGGTACCGAGGAAGTTCCGGTATCCTTTCTTCCAGAAAATTCAGTGGTATACTGCGTTGAAGTACCTCGAGGAAGACCCGGTTCCTCACGGCGTTCTCGACGCATTTGCACAGGACGGCAATTATCGCTTTCATCGAGACTATCCCATATACTATGAATTTGGAGACAGGACGAACACTGCCCCGCCGGGCTCTCCTTATCATAATTCACGCTTCTATTCACAAGCAGAGTTGGAAGGCCTGCCAGACCTTGCAAAATACCTTCTGCGTACCGCCTTGATCGCTGGGTCCTACCTCGTGGAAGGGGTAACGATGGATGCTAGGAATGCAGTCAAACGATCAATACCGAAGACGCCAGGCGATCCAGTCGACGTTGTTAAGCAGTTTGGGATATGGGTTGCATGGAAGCGTGGAAACGAGAAAGCACCTCAGTGGACTCGCCCCGGCGTGATCGAGAGCAACCCAAAACTCAGCCTTGTCGAGAAAAAGCCAGCTGGAAGACCTAGTCGTCGCTCAGAGCGCAACGCGGACAGCCAACGTACTTATGCAGAGCGACAGGCTGTGCAGCGACTCCCGGAGCCACCCAAGGACCTGGCGATTCAATCGAGCAACAAGAGCAGCTCCAGTTACAATGTGCCTTCAATCACGGATTCTCATATTCCCACGAGCCTTTCCAGCGCTAACGCAGGTATCAAAGAGGAGCCCGCGCCTAAGCCTCGAACAGCACTTCGGGGCTCGGGGCTCGGTCCCAAACGGGTTGCATGTGATGCTTGTCGCAAACGCAGAATCCGCTGCCATCACAAGGACGAACAGAATGATAGCCTAGCATCCAAACAGACAGCCATGGGTGCTTTCGGTACCGGGGTCCATTCGCCGGCGCATGATGCAGCGTCTGCTCTGAACTCATTGGCGGCCATTGCATCGGAAGCAGGTCTTCAGGACAATGGCGTTAGTAGGAATATGGATCGCTTCGAAGCGTCATTGATCACCGTGGGCACTCCGCATCCATCAACCAACAGGCTTAACGAACTCAGCCCCGAAGGGCAGAATACCGGAAAGAAAGGCCGGAGCAAGGCCTGTGACGACTGTCGGAAGAGCAAGGTTCGTTACGCCGTTCTGCATCTCGTGATATACATTTGCTAACTGACCATAGCGCCGGTGTATCCATGATGAGTATGGAAGAATTGATCCCATCAAAGCTCAAGAACGAGCAAAGCCACGAGCCGCGGCTTCTGTGAAACGGCCACGTCCCAATGAGGAAGGAATCGGCTCTGGTGTCAGCAAACGGATGAAGCAAGAAAGTACTTCTCCTGTGTCTCGGCCGCTCCATCTTGGTAACAGAGACCACGCTATGCTGGATGTACATGACCATGTCGGCCATGCTTCTAAGGATCTGGACCTACATGACCCATATGCCGACCTCCCTCACGAGGATCAAGATTCTCCACAACAAGCGGCAACGGACAAGGAGGCCCAGCTCGGGCAGACCTCATACGCATCACCGCCTGCCTTTCAGTCCGACACCGTGGTAACAAACGAGGCCAACTCTGCTCTTGCTTCTAAGCCCACAGCTACGCTCGTATCGCCACCGACCTCGTTGGCGGACGATACCGACGTTCCCAACGATTATGCAGATGGTGAAGGAGAGCATGTTGTGATTCTTCACACGCCGACATCTAGCTCGCGACACTCTTCCCGTCAGCCTCGCCAGGTCGACCGGTATATACCTGAAGTTCATGTGATCAAAACGAGCAAGTCGACGACGCACACGCCCAGCGCACGCCGTTCATCCTTCGGCGCGTCAAGTACCGGTGTACGTAGGTCTACTCCCGGCCCATCTTCGGGGACCAAGAAATCAGCGTCACGGCCCTCGTCATCACATAATGCGAAGAAGAGCTTCTGGCCGATGGATGAGAAGAAAGGCGAGCGTGCTCCTGCAGCCTCGATTTCCCCGGGCCAAACCAACAAATCCACGAAGCGTGCGGCTGACGACGAGCCGGATGCTGAGAGTCTTCGTCTGATCCGCGAACTTCAGGAAGCCGAATTCGGCCTTCGGAAGCGATCTACGAGAGCGTGAATCGACGCTTGATCTCTTCAGTCGGGGCTGGGTTTGATTTTATTCAGTGATATATCTAGATTACCTTCATCGGGCAACCGGCTTGTCCGAACCGAGAAGGGTCCAACCCACCGGTTCGGCTTTTTCCTGGGATGCGGAGTTTGAGAGTTTGGGGGAGTCCGACGGACATGGTAATGCTTGTTGTTTTCATCATTCTTTGGTCTGATTCATGGATTGCGATTCCATTTGGCGTTCTGTTCTTTGGTTGGGTGTTTTGCGGCTTTTCCATTACCCCGTCTTGCTTATATCGTTCGAGAACCCTTTCAGCCTTTTCTTTCATGTGTGTATCCGGCGTTACTGTTTTACGGTTGGGCTGTTCTGATACGGTCAGTCGCCTGTCTAGATGATGTTCTTTCTGGTCCAGTCGTTCCTTCTGGCTTCTCTCTTTATCTCCTGGCCCATGGTCAACGTTCAAATCTCATTCCCATATGGGGAGGATCGTCCTCGGAACATGAGGCGACCTGCTGCTTTACCTGCTGCTACTCATTTGATCCCAGCGCTGTTTGTACTCTTCATCTTAATTCGGAGATCTCCTAGAACCTATTCCCTTCGTGTTGCTGGACGAAACCTGGGTGGTTGCTGATCTTTCCCTTCCGTCTTTTCGTCACCTTGAAGTGGCCTGCGATGAGTTGATCTTATTTCATTTTTTCCTCTGCTTTCATGGCACTACCCCCGCCTGCCTGCCCATACTTAGCTTGCTTTGCTATTTCTCCACCTTATATGATCGTAGCGAGTAATCTTCCACAACAAAAATTTCCATTGTGACCTGCTAAATTCCATTTAGACATAGCCCGCAGTAGCTTACGGGACTAGAATTCGGTGTGCCTCCTTCGCCACAACCCTCCCTCACAATCTCCACTAGGGTGTTCTCTCCGATACCCTCGCTTCCAAAGAGCGAAAACCCGCCATTTTCCACGGCCGGGATGTAAGGCTAACTCTGCGAGGGAAGCCAGGCCCTGGTGGTATATACACAACACATTGATCCATAATCCCCGAATGATAACGGACGTGGACCGTCAAGAGGCTCTAGATACCTCCTTCCCGATTCGGTAACCGTTCAACCTCTCCAGCTCAGCTCAGGGCTGGCATCTATGATCTATGATCGCCGCGTGCAACAAACCAACATAACTTCCTGTGAACGTGAGGCGCTTTTAAAACGCCTGCCCCATCTTATGCAGTTCAGAAAAGCTACGGATGCAAGGGACTGAAAGAGTAGTCAGCTGACGTGGTGTGCTAGAGCAGCCCCGCGAACCTCACATTTCCTCTTACCCATGGAAGCATTGGAGAGACAAAAGATCGCGCGTCAAACAAACGAGAGTCGCTACAGACATATTGGGCACAGTCCGTTGGTTTATGATCGGGTTGGGTAGGTAGGTAGGTAGTTTCGGGGCTAGCACAGTCCAACAAGTCGAGTTCCAAAGGTTCCATGAGTCCATTCTTGGACTTAATAATCTAAGGTATGGTGTTCTTGATACTAGTACGCCGCGGGGTGTGCGCGCTGCTCTATAGTTCTCCAGTGGGCCAAGGAAAGGCTCCTGGATTCCCCTCCACCCGGCCCCCCGCTCTCCTCCTGCTCCGTACTTAGGGAGCTTGATCATTGGAGCGGTGGATTTCAGCTTGGCCAGGTGGAATTATCGAAAATGAAATCGAAAACCTGCGAGGTTATGGGGACTGGCCAACTGGTCGTCCCGAAGCAGCAGAGTAACAGAACAACTGCCAAACTTGGCAGATGTGCTGATTGTTAAGGTTCGAAAGCTCAATCCCCAACGCATGCATCAACTTGAACCTGTTTGACCTTTTTAGCATGATGCTCTTGATTGAGAGATAAATTTGTAGAATAACTCTATTCAGCACCACAACCATCCAGCCACAGCAATATGTACTAAATGACCGAAATACACATCAAAGATAATGACAACGACCAGGCCGGGACTCCACCACCTATGATCCCCGGCCAGGACAAACACAACGATGTATATCATGTAGTCAAATGGTTAGTGGTACGTACTCCGTGATTTTCGTGTCTATCATCGCCTCGTGGTTCGTTGGTTTCCAGCCCAGACTCGAACAGAACGCCAGTCATCAATGCAATCATGCAGATAAATAACATGCAGGGGTATATAATCCCACCAATATGGTAGTAGCAGAAATAATCATGAGAACGAACAGTAGAAATAGACATCCGACACCAGCCTCTAATTACGCGGATGCTCAGCCGGGTTTTCGACACCCGCACTTGCCCAGCGGCGAGGGCGAGCCTGTTCACCAATGTAATTTTTAATCACGCAAGGACTGTCGTCAGATTGCTGACAGACCTTGCGCCGATTCAGGTGCTTGAAGCGCGGGCCTAGAGGCCCGTTCACGTAATGATACTGACCCGCAAATCGGTACTGGCGCTCATCGCCCAACGGGTAGAACTTGTCGCCCCAGTGCCCATTGAAGTAGAACCACTCAATAGGCGCCGAGGGGCTCACAGTCGAGGCCCGGAGCATGTCGCTGGGGAAGTCATACGTGTATGTGTGCACGTTCAAGAGCGGGTCCCACAATGGACCGCGATTGGTCTGGTCGTGCAGCAAGCCCCAAGGCAAGATGTAGGCGTGCACGCCAGGAGTAGCATACATAGCATGGGTGCCAAGGGCGGAATATATGACCGGCTGGTTCACGGTCAGTGGGGGAGACTAACGATCCGGGGCGGGACGAAGTTATGGGGATTGATTATGACTTACCCGTTGGCCAATCTTCTCGACGGCTTCGTAGCTGTATGCTTCTCCCGCTGAGTGGGCACTGAAAAAGAGGGCCTTGGGCCGGCCATTATGAAAGCGCACAAGACAGTGTTCCCAGTCCCCAACATGGTTGCCGAATCGTACGTTCAACACCACGTTGCCAAGGTTGAAGCTGTAGAAGAAGAACCAGAAGGCATCCACAATGCCGTTGCCTTTGTCCATCACCAATAGGATGGCTGGCGCATTGCTGCGCCCGCCCGTAGTCTCAACATGGATGGGCTCCCCACCAAAACGCTTGCGCAACTCGTCCCGCAAACCTTCATCTTGTTGTAGATCCTCTGGGCGCAAATAGCCGAGTTTCTCAGGCGACCACTCAGCATCGTTGTCGCCGCCATCCAAGTCATCTCCTTCGCGGAGGGCATGGGCTGAATCGTACCACTGCGCTCGGTCACCAGGTGTGTCATTCGGGATGGGCCCATCAACCCGCGCATCCCAGTCAGGCCAAGACTTTTCCAGGTCACTATCAGGATCGTCAGGGATATTCTGGTCGCCTTCCATCCACGAAGGTCGATGCTCGACATTATCGTTGCTGGTGAGAAACACATTGTGCCCATCCTGCCACTGGTTCAATCGATCCAGGTCATTTAAAGTGGGATGATCCCAATACGATTGGACGGGGGTGTAATTGAGCATAGGTGTAATATGATACAGGTGTTCGGCGATGTCGCAAGGCCAGAATTGCTCATCGGAGAACAAATGGACCAGCGGCGCATACTGGAAGACATAGTCTGGGATTTCGCGGCGGGAGCGTTCCGCCTCATCCCAAGCGGCCTCGGGATGGGCGGAGTCATTGAATTGGGCGGCACGCCAGGCGGAGAAGTCTTCGTTGGACCCTTGGCCAGCCGCCGCGACGGCCTTGCGGTGGCCGAAGCGGGGGCGCACCAAGCGAAAGTGGGCGGTCCCACATAGGCCGAACCAGCGGCAAGCCTTCCGGTCTAGCCAGGATGGAGATGACGAAATCCAGCGACGTTCGTCCTGATCCTCCTCGTACCAAATGAAGGCCGACGGATTAACAGCGCGAGCGACACTGTTGATCACGACATAGGCAATCAATGAGGATAGAGTGAAAATCGCTGCGGTCGTTGTGCGCACCATCTGTTGACCGACACTCGCAGAAACGTCTGAATCGGCGAGTTGCGAAGGCGATTGGGTCGATAAGGCTACCGACCTGACCTTGTCTGGATCGCGAACTTGATCTTCAAGATCACGGTGGGCTGTGGACGACAAAGGGTGCGTGACCAATTGCCCGTTCGGGAAAGTAGCAGACGTGGTCGAGGATGGATCGGGCTCAGCGATCAATGCGAACGCATCGAGAGGGTTGACAGGGGATGAAAGATCATGAGTCCTGAGAGGGGAGGAGGCACAGAGCAGCGACGAGGAGGAGAGTAATAATATTAAGCAGAGAAGGATGGAGGAAGAAAAAGAGTAACCAGACCGAGTAACCAGACCCAGAGCTGGGCGCCAGGGCAGCAGGGGAGACACTATAAGAAGCCGAGAGAAACGCGGCCATGATCCGTCAGCCGGACCAGGTCCGTAGGTTCGAGAACAGAAATTGAGGAATGGAGTCAGGGCGCTTTGTTGGTTCATGGAGCTTGCCGGGTAGGGCAGAGCCAGGACGGCGCATCCGGGGACATCCGGATATGAAGAGGATCGCCATATATGGGTTTGGTTTAGGGCTGAGAACAACAGGGCATCGGTGACTCGGGACGAATGGAAAGATGGGAAAGAGGGACAAATGATTAGATCATAAAGGAGGGAGGGGGGGGGGGGAGGGGAGACGGACGGATGCAGGTGGAGAGAAGGAATGCCAGCCCGTTCCGCGGTGAGCCGGTGACAATGAATGGAGAGAAGAAATAACATTCTAGACAGATGAACGGAACGGGATTCACTTACTACTGCTACTACTGCTGTCGTGATGACGACGATAGTGACGATGATGAAAAGCCATGATGATCAACAATGATACCAGTCGAGCTACTTACTTAACTCTCCGGCTCAAGTCGAGACTTGACTGATAATGATGATGATGATGGAGTGGGGATGATGGAGCGATAAGTCAGAGAGCGAGAGCGAGAGCGAAAGCAAGAGAGACAGCAAAAACAAGCCTGAGGCCCAAAGCAGAGCCAAGGGAATGAATGATGCAATGCAGCAGTCATTCGTAAATTCGATTAGTCAAGGCTGAAACCAGTTAGACTGAGTTGATGATCAGCTGGATCATGCGGTGAGAGATGCGATGAAAGCTGCGATGAAAGATGCTCATGAATGAGTTTACTTGGTGAAAATGATAAGCAGAGCAAGAAGAAGAGCCGATGATGACTACACAGTCTGTCTAACTACACATAGATCTTTACCCCAATCGGGCAGCCGCCCGCGATGACTCGGGACCTATAGATTGATCGATTCCGGATTCACCGCCTTGATATGCCGGTTCTGAACTTATTCATGTGTTGATGGTTGATGGTTAACGTTAATGGATACTACTACTCTCATCAACTCACGGTTCTTCAGGGAACAGACTGTCCATACTATAAACCAACCACACCATGTCGCTTCCTCCGCCCATCCCGGTCGATCCGGCCATGTTAGTGGACCAGCCCCATCCCGATTTCGACATCGACTCTGACTATGAATATGAATATCATCCCACCGAAACTGAGGTCCGCCTTGGCATCCCTCCCTGCCTTGTTTTTTTCCACCCTCTTTTCTCCGAATCCTTTTTTTTTCACTTTCATTCTGCTTCTAACACCTATCCACCACCTAGACCGTCTATCTCACCCTTGACCTCACGTCTCTCCACGGTCCACTTCGACCTCCTCGCCGTCGACAACCTTCCGCGACTGCCGCCTCATCAGCATCAGCAACAGCCACCAACATCTCCGACGAACCCGATGCCGCTGAGTTCACCCATGTGGAGTCCCCATCCGATGGCCTACAAATCCTTGGGCTTCACACCCCTAATCCCATAATATCATACCAGAACCAGATCTTCAGCGGCACCTGGGCCGATCAACTCGGCACCGACCTGATCTTTGCTCGTCCAGACGAAGGAGGGGGAGGAGGAGCGGAGGAACAACCAGGGGAGACTGCACCGTACGACCCGTATGGTACCCACCGCACAGAGCAACCCGACACTCCTCTCCGTCACGGACACACCTACGACCTTCTCGCCGCCCCCAGCATTAAGATTATAGGCCGCAAAGCCAATCTCATCTCCGCTAGCCAATCCTCGGCGGTGGCAGCAGCAGCAGCAGCAGCAGCACCGGGATCAGATGAAGGGGTAAACCCTAACCTTGGGCAGTCTGACTACCCCCCTGCTGGCCTCACGCCCCCCGTATCAACAACCGGGATTATCCGTGCCCCCAATCACCCCGCAAGCAACCAAATGCGGTTCCTCGAACGTCTGGCCAGTCTGAAGCGAAGCAAGGGAGAGACCGACACGGTGCGCACCGTCTTCAGCACCAAACGGATCCAGTCTGACCATGCATCGTCGATGGGCGGGCGGGCGCTCGGCTGGGCGCGCACCGACGAACAGCTGGCGGAAATCCAGCGCTTGAATGAGCTGGCGTTGCAGGGTGATGCGGTTGCGATGGCCGAGCTGGAGGCGCTTTACACCCGGCTTGGTGAGGATGTCGAGAGGGAGGTGGGGAGCGATGACGATGACGATGACAATGACAATGACGGTGATGGCGATAATGACGATAATGGTAATGATAATGATATCGAGATGGGAGGCGTGGAGGGAGAGCCGGAGGTTGCGGGGGAGGATCCCACGCGGGATCTGAATCACGACCAGTACCTCGACCCGGAAGAGTTACTCTCGCAGGCTCGTCGAGAACCTCAGCAGCCGCAGCCTTGATCCATGCTCTTCGTTTGACTGCACAACATCCTCTGTTCAGGACGGTTAATCCTCCTCGACATGGTCACGTGAGAGGACCATGATCAGAGGCTCCAAGCCGAGGTTCATCTTCCAAAGGGGAAACAAGCTTTAATAGTCACGAGTACTATTTCCACCGCACTGCCCGGCGGGCTCACTCGGCCCTGCCGACGCTCGCCAGCACAAATCCTGAACGCCGAACAGAAAAGCGTATGAGTAAGAGAGTCGGCGGTAACCGAATCGGAATCCGCGATGGGTCCCTTGGTTTTGCATGCACGCTACCCTACTAAGTTATAGCTAAGGTAGTTAGCGCCCTGCGGCATACGAAGAACTACCGCAATCGCGTAGAGGCTAGAGCCCGGCGCTACCATCACGATACCGTCTACAGATGTACTGTACCGAGGTCGGTCTTCTGCCATGTCGACAATGATGAACCATGGCGTCATCGGGTCTCAGGCTGCAGGTACTCATAGACTCTGCATGTGACGGGGAGTCCGGAGATCTGCAACGCGTTCACCATCAGGGTTGACCCTCATGATTGGATGGAATGCACGTTTGCTTGGAAGGGGATAGATTAAAAAATGATTTATTCATCTTAACAAATGACGTAGTGGGATCTCATCCCATACAGTATCACCGAATATCCAAGACTATTTCCTGTCTCTCGCCCCCCTCACAACAATACTATAGCATGCATATAGAGTAGATAAATCAGGCACTGGTCTATTTTCCCAAAGGTCAATAGACCCGAGCAGTCGTGCACCGTAGCAAAAAAAGAAAGAAAGAAAAAACACTCTGACTCAAGTCCGCTGCACCAAACGCTTTTTGGTCAATCGATCTCATTCCATTGACATGATTACCATTTAAAGCTATCCCCTCCCCCAACCCCAACCCCATAATATACACACCATCTCCATCCCAATGGAAGACAAGACAACAGAACAAACCAGATTTCAAAAATAGAAAAGCAATCCCCGCCCCACTCCATAGAGAAAACATCACCCCCGAAAAGCGATGAAAAGCGCAAGGAAGTTTTGACCCACCGACACCAGAAAAACAACCGAATAGCCCAACACGCAACACCCGATGTCAACCAAACAGAAAAAAAAGGCACCCAGGAAGCCTGCACGGTTTGGAATGCGCCCCCCACCCCCCACCTCCCCCATAGATATTGTAGCCGGGTCCACGTGGGAGGTGCAGAACCAAGCTTGAACCGGGATCTTGCAATAGGGCGAGAGGGAGGACAGAGCCATTGCCCGCTACTGTCTGGGTTTTGTAAAAACAAAAAAGGTTTGGGAATCACCGGCCCCATAGCGCTCTCGTCTCGACCGGCGACGGAGGGGGTGGAGGTGGAGGCATGGGCACCTCCAGGAGCCCTGTACTCGTTGTTGGGGTTGCTGCGCCGGTAGCGCTCGCCTTCCGGGCTGCGGACTCGACGGCGATGGACTTGGGGATGTGGTTGGCGGCGGAGAGGATGGCGGCGGAGATATCCTGAGGGAATGTGGAGGAACAGGCGGGAGTAATGAGGGTAGGACGATGACGTTGCGGGGACATGTTCGCCATTCTGTGCCTTGTATTATGCTTTTCTGTGGTGGTTGTGGTGTTGTTGCTATGGTTGAACGGGATTGTAGTTCAGGGTGTATGTAGTTCAGGGTTCGGAGGTGGTTGTTTCTTAGGGTTTGTTCTGGATGGAGGAAGGTTCGCTATAAGTTGTTGCTAGACTTAATAGCACTGCAGTTGAGGGATTAGCAAGAAGTACATCTACAAAGGCGTGGGTCAAGGTAGATATAAGTAATATCAGATGGTAGGCGGGCACATGGCAACTCGTCGAGACAATTCGGCAGACGAGGACCCGTAGGGCCGAGAGGGAAGCTCCGGGGGGTATACAGTACATGCTGGAGCTCCGAAATTCGCCGAGGCAGAAAGGATTCCCGGGGCGCAGTCATGTCAATGGAAAGTAAATGAATTGCTTACCTCATTTAGTGAATCAGAAATGGTAATAGTAATAGTAGTGGCTGTTGTAATAAGTACTGTAGTGTTCCGAGCAGTGTCTGGTTTGGCGGAAGGTACTGGGTGGGTTGAAAGGGTAGGGGGAGATGCTTTTTAAATCCCCATTGACCGAGAACAATGAGCAAATGAAAGAAGGATTAGGAGGGCGACAGAATGCAGGGCGAACAAGCCACTCGACGCCAGCAGTGTACAGTACAGTCAACTGTATACAAGGAAGCACAACCATTCGTTGAAGGAGTAGTGTGGTAGTAGTAGTAGTTAAGTTAGTAGTAGTAAGTTAGTTGCAGGGGTGAATCTGTTGGGGATGGGAAGTCGCCCGAGTGTTTTGAAATCGACAGATGGAATTCCAATGCGAATGATTAGTGGACTCTACACGGACAGTGGATGATCCCCATGCTCGATCGATTCTTTGTACTATTTATTTCTCCTGGGCCTCGAATCGAGAATCCCAACTAGGTTCAGGGCTGGGGACGCCTCACCCAGCGACTCGGTCCAAAGGGTGGGTTGAAGGCTGCATGCTCGCCACGACGACGGGACGGCAAGACAGGACAGGGCGGGAGAACTTCCGGGGAAGAGCTGGGCTTCTTCCGGGGGAGGAGACGAGTAACTTGAGCAACTTGAGCAAGAGAGAGATAAATCGGAGTGAACAATTAAAGAACAAAAAACCGGGTCGTCAAGGGATGGAGAAAAACCCGATGGGGTAAGGATTCAGCCAGGGCGGATGGAGAAACGTACGTGTGCATTTTGTGGGGAAAGCGAAACAAGGGAACGGACAGGACAGTAACTATATCGTAGTCGCTACTAGTTACCTCAGGGTATGATGGATGCCAGATGGATGAAAGGAACCCTGGAATTGAAGCATAGTCGACAATGTTGACCTGGAGGAAGAAGATACTCTGAGTATGTTGACTTACGAGTCCACTCACGGAGTATGTGTACAGTATGTACATGATGCATACGACCCCATCCTTCTAGAAAGATACTCAGCAACAAAGAGAACTCCACCGGGAATCTGTGAAGTCAACAGTAGTCATTCAATGAGTGGCCACACCCCCCGGTTTCATCTTACTGGGTATGAGCATCTGATTTCTATTTCTATTTTCCCCTCTCACGCCACCAAAGCTGATCCTCCCTCCCTCCCTCTCCCCTTTCCCCCGTATGGTAGGTAGTACTGAGTATACTGTGCACTCGGTATACATACCCCAGAAAATGACTGCAACTGCATTGTCCCTTTTCAGTAGTCCAGGATAGTCTAGGACTACTGTATCCCCATGATCCATTCCGGAATCCCTTAAATGCCACCATGTACTGTAGTGCACTGCACCCTGTAGAATCAAACATAGAGACAGACAGCTCTCCAAACCAAGCAGGATGAACCAGGTCTACCTGCCTTTCCCTCCCCGAGTCCCCCCATCCCCCCATCCCCCACATTCCATCCCTCCCCCATCATTCTGGAGAAAGCTGTACACAAAAAAACGAAAACGAAAAACAAAACAAGCGAAGGAGATCATATCCCATGCAGTCATGATCGACAGCTTCAGCAGCAGCAGCAGCAGCAGCACCACCACCACCACCACCACCACCACATGCTCTAGTCAAACCCTCTTTTTTTGGCCTTCATCGTCCTGCCTCCGATAGCAAGCCTCCAACAAGAAGAACAAAAAAAAAAAACAAATTCGTTGACTTTGAAGATGACGCCATCCTTCGACTAGTCCTGTTGATGTCACTCATCAACTATCATAATCATTCATCCATCCATCCATCCATACGCAACCATTCGCAACACCACCACCACCACCACCAACACCTCCAGCTTCCACCATCCAGAATAATGCGTGCTGTACATCTACATCTACATCTACATGCATGTTCCATATCCACTGATGTCATAACGCAGCATACATCCAATGTAGCAAGGGGAAAAGAGGGAGAGATAGGACCTACTTCCGTAGTGGATCTTCCCTACCTAGCTCCGTAGCACCGTATCGTATCCCCATGCCCTATCCCCCATCCCCCATCCTCTCCCCAGATAGCCTCCCACCCACCAAACAAAAAAAAAAAAAGGAATCAAATAAGAAACAGACCCTGCACGGGGCAGGACGGGGGGGAGGGGGGAACCTGAAAGAAAGGGATGGTTCTAGATCAGATCCTACACACTCGATTACCGGAATAGGTAATCCGGCCAGAACGGGCACCTCATAACAGATTCATACGAGGAACGACCTACAACTATAACTGCACATAAACATACTATGCAGTACATGTCTATTCCACAGGAAAGACATTTCAAACCAGGATCGTCAGAGGGGGTCAAGGATTACCTACCAGTCCCCCCCAATTCTTTCTCAAGGAAAGGATTTCCGGTCAAGATCCAGCGAGTAGCGTGGCGACTTGGAAAAGACAATCGGTGGAAAGCAAGACCGCATAGCATGAAATTCGTTTTGATTGTGGAATGAAACAATACGCGCGGCTTTCTTTCTTTCTTTCTTTCTTTTTTTTCGTTTGATGGGCTATTTAACCCTTTCCTTAATGTATCTCATTCCATTACTCTACACACTGGCCGCCCATGGGAGGGAGGGGATATGGGGGTGAATCTATACAATTTTCCCATCCATTCGCTTTATCCCTTGATGCAACATGCGACATTGAGGCCGGTTGCTGTTCTTGTATACACAGAAGACTGAAATGGGTAAAAAAAAGAAACACAAACATGAGTCAGTAAGAATGCATTCGGGCCTGAGAGAAATGGAACCCGGAGGAATTGACCAGCACGCATTCAACACATACACACACACACCACCCACCAGCACCTAACGCCTCGCAAACCAAAATCAACCGGCCAGCCAACCTGCCCCGCCGAGGTCATGAGTAGTAAGGAGCTCATCGACCCGCGGGAGTCAGACTACTAGATGAAAGAAAACACAATCAGAAAGAGAATCACTCCTCGAACTTCCTCTTGACCCCGTTCTGGCCGTTCGGGGGCCCACCGCCCCCAGGAGCTTGTCGGTGTCGTTTCCGAGCTTCTTCCTCCTGCAACGCCTGGCGCTTCTTCCACGCCGTCTTGATTGCAGGAGCCATGCGGATGAGGTCCTCCTCCGTCACCCGATCCTGGATACTCTCCAGAACCTTATGCACCGTCGAGATGTGATTCGCGTCCGACTTGTCATCCCGCAGCCGATGGAACCGCCACCGGCCCTGGTCATCCTGGGCGCATTCGACGATCGTGTCATCCAGCGGCTGGCCCAGGGCCTTCATCGCCTCCCACTCGTCCGGCGTGACGAACATCTCCCCGAAGGGCTGGTACTCGTTCGTGCGCAGCAGCACGAATAGATGGAAGATCGGCATCGTGTCGTAGTCCGCGTACGGTTCCGTGACCCCCTCGGCCTCGTCGTCGGTGTCCGGCTCGAGCAACGGGAACTCCAGCCTCATGCGGAAATCGATGGTGTTCTCCGCCGGCGGCTTCCACTTCAGGATGTGCTCGTCGGTGCCGATCTTGTACGGGGTGCTCCGACACGTGAAGATCAGCCCGTCGTTGCCATGGATCTTCTTGACCTTGGGGATGATCTCGCGAAACATCATCTCGATCCCGTAGCTGAACTGCGTCGATTTGTCTTCCACCGTGAACGTGCGGTGCGGGATCTCCTCGGGGAACTTGCGGTACATGGCGTTGTACGGTCGCAGCACCTTCTCCTTGAAATAGGCCAGCCGCTTGTCGAGCGTGCGGTGCATCAGCGGCTGCCCGTCCAGCACCAGGCAGTCGAACACCAGGAATTTCAGCTGCTGCGTCCCGTCCTCGTAGGTGTCGTTCACGAGCTCACCATCCACGATCGTATTCACGTGGAACTGTCGGAAGGTGTCATCACCGGGGAGCGGGAAGTGCAGCCCCGGCACCCACCGGTAGTCGTTCTTGCGGTCGATCAGGTAGTGCACCTCCGGCGTGTCCGAATCCGGTTCCCCGTGCGCAAAGTACATCAGGCACCGGATGCCATCCGTCTTCTCGCAGACGTAGTAGTCCTCCCGCTGGAGTTCGGTGAGATGTCGCGTCGCGAAACTGACCGGCTGCGCTCCGGGAAAGTTCAGGTTGTTGCGCCCCAGAAGACTGGCGACCTCGCGCCGGAGCATGTCGGCCAGCTCTGGTTCGGCTTTCACGCCGACCGCGTCGAGGTCGGGAACGGAGTTTCCCATCTTGCAGCTGGACGAAGAGGAGCGCGGGGTGGTGGGTGCGTAGGTAGGTAGGTAGGTAGGTAATAAGGGCGAGGCGGGATCGGGATTCAATCGGGTGAGGTGGACTCGACAATGGACGGATCGGAGTTGAGGTGGGCGGGCGATGGGGTTCTTTTGGACTGTCTGTAGAGAGTTGAAAGTAGGTTGAGAGTTGTATAAGAATTGAGGTCGGACCGAGGCCTCGCCTGCAAAGCCGCACAGCTTTGCGCGGTGTTAAAAGAAAGGAGTGTGAGGTGAAAGAAAGGGCAGGCGCATTGAGCTCAATTGGGTGGGCGGGCGGGCTTTTGTCGCCGTTCGGCGGAGGTCGCGGTTGTGGCCTGAGGCAGTCTGACATGCCACCAGTATAGATTCTTAGTAGCCTTCGAGTAATTATCAGGCACAACTTATCAAAGAAACTTTCGTAATATTGGCAAAGTCTAAGAAGCATTACGGACTGAACAATATCTGATGTGAAGTTGCATTAGAATCTCTATCAAATCACACGTCAACCCATTTTGGACACAACTGTACACCAAGTAAAGCAACAATGCATGCATCCAAACACACTCAACACGGGGTATCATATCATCACAGAAGTCAAAAGAGCGCAGCAAAGTTGAATCATCCTTAAAACGCCGTCCCCCAACCCGTCCAACCTCCAACCGCTGACCCATCGCCGTTTTGTAACCCTTTAAATACCACTGGGCAGCAACATGAAGAACCCATCCAACACGGAAAAATGACTGAATTCATAAACCATTCGCCCACGCACCTGCCTGGACCAAGACCTCACGAGCTTGCCGCCACGGAAAGTTTCTTGGGCGCAGGTGCGGCCGGAGTCTTCGTATCAGCATCTGTCGCATTATCCGGCACAGTTGCAGAGACCGGTAAAGCCATGTCGACTTCGTCCACGGGGGTGAAAAGGTTCCCATCGGAGAACAGAGAAGGCGTAGATGAGGTGTTGTCGCCGGTCGAGAAGAGGCCACCGCCGCGCGAGCCGCCCAAAGCATGCGACAGCATCTCTTTGATGCGCACATACTGGTACTTCTTCTTGGTCGAGATCAAGGTGTGACTGACAAGGGGCTGTGGATGTGAGCGCGTGATCGCCGCCATCACGGCATCCTTCTCTTCATCCGAGTCGACCGGACCGTTATTATCTTGCTCGTCCTGCAGCGGCGCGTTGGCGTCGATAGCAGCCTCTGTCAAAAGTGCATTAGCCCCACGTTCTTCACTCATTCTGACTCGAGAAGAAGAAAGAGAAACTTACTCTGCTGCCTCGCCTGGTTTTTCTTCTGATACGCCTGCAGCAACATGTCGTATGGTAACGAACGTCCAGGGACCGCTCGCTTCGCACCCATCGAATGGCTCTTACAAGTCAAAGAGCGCGCACACTGGGCCCCATTCGGCAGAGTAACACCGCACTGTTTCTCGACATCCACGGGACCCTTCGGTTTGGCGGTCTTCGGTTTGGGCTCCTCCTTCTTTTTCTTCTTCGTCTTGGGCTCCTTGCTATCCTTGTCGTCGCCATCCCCGGCCTCCGTCTTCCGCTTCGTGCCCTTCTTCGCCCCGATCTCCGCCGCCATCCCCTTGACGGCGCTCTTCTTCGCGCCCTTCTGGCCCTTCATCGACGAATCCTCTCCACCTTCCCCTTTCTCCCCGCCGGGTCCTCCTCCCGCACCGCCGGCGCCGCCCACGCCCACCTCCTCGGTATCATCCTTATCACCGGCCTTGGCCCGATTCGCCGCATCGCGCGCCTCCTTCCGCTGGCGCGCCTTCTCCTGCTTCGCTCGAATACACCCGCGGATGTGTTCCACGGCATTCTGCTTGAGGACCGGCCTCTTGCAGGTCTTACAGATGACCGTCTCCAGATGATCTTCTTCTCGCGGCTTGCCCGTCGGGAAGGCGGCCATAGTCTTTTCGTCGATCTCCGGAAGAATCGGGGATGAGCCGGGGGAGGCGGGGGGTTCTGTCATCGCATGAAAGAGATTTTTCTTTAGCATCCTCTCTTCTAGTAGTTCCAATAGGAACCCCAACGTCTTCTTCTGCATCGAAATGATGTCTCCACACTCCCTTCCGCCTCAGGAACCCAGAGCAGCGCACCCTTTTCCCAGACAGAAACAAGAACAACACAGGAACCGAGAAAGAAAGAAAGAAAGGGGAAAAGAAAAAAAAAACATACCATCAGCCTTCTTCCTACCTCCCAGCTTCGCCGACTTCTTCAACTTGATCTTCCCGGGTTTCACATCCTTCTCGGAGAATTTATATCCGGATGCATCAACAAAACTGCCAGCAGTTGTTGTTGATGATGATGATGATGATGATGATGCGACAGAAGGGGCTGCAGCGCACAGTAAAATGGTGAGTCACGAAAAATTAGCCCAATATTCTTCTTCATTCGAGTGAGATTCCGCCTTCAATAGCTTTTCCGTCCCGAGGTATTGTTTCCTCTTGCCTCTCTCTTCCTCCATGATGACCTCGCACACACACATACACACACAGAGAGAAACAAAGCGACGAGAGAGAACAGCAAAGCAAGATGTACACACCGTTATTGGAAGTAGCCATGATTTGTAAACTCGAGCAAACGAGCCCCCGGGAAAGGGCTGATTCAATAAGTAATGTGATATAAAACCCGCGACTACGACCACGGCTGGTGATTTCGTTCCCTACTACCGTGGCCTCCCTTCCAAAGTTGGACGACTGATTGTATTGTGTGGGTTTCGAAGCGTAGAGAGAGGGTGATGACGGGGCGGGACGTTGTCATTCATGTAAAGAACGAAAGGGTGGGTTTTGAGGAGATGAGACGGTAACTTATATCGTGTCTAAGGAGAGAAGCTCGGTGCGAGAGCTAATCGACTGAACGGAAGGAGGGGGCGTGTTGCGACAACCCAGCACGGCGTAGCGTTGAAACAGCAGCAGCTGTAGTGCTTGCGATGCGATGATCGAGGCTACGTCCGGGGCCGGGGAGAGAGAGGGGGGTTTCCCGCATGGGGTTGGGTCACGTGCGCGGATTGGTGAAGGAATCCCTGCTTCTTTGACTTGGTGGAATCGCGAGGTGTACAATAGATCCAGGCTTGGAGAATAAGTGTTACTTGTTTAAAGCTTATAGAAATTGACTTCAAATTCATTGAGAAGAAAGAGCTGAATTGTTGACCAGTCCCAAACACCAGGCATATATCAAGGGCATTATGTAACACAAACCACTATATCATCTAAACAATTCAGAGGACTTAGAATCAAGTAATCACATATAAAATACATTTTCATAACCTGACTGTGTCAGGTACCTCGGCATCCTATCTTGATGAGAGGCAGACATGGTTCTCTGCCGCTGACGAAGTATGACATGTCCACGCTAAAGTACATGCTGTTGATACAGTGCAGCATCTATGCAAAAAGACCACACAACAATAGGATGAGGCACCTCACCTAGTTGTTGAGCTTCGAGAAACACAAACTGCTGTTGGTCCCTCCGAATCCAAAGCTGTTCGTCAAAGCCACGTCGATACGGCGCTCTTGCGCCTCGCCCGGGGCATAATTGCAATCGAATCCATCTGCTAGCCGCTCCAGGTTAATTGTTGGAGGCATGATGTTCTGAATCGCACTGTTAGTATTTCCATGACAAAGCTTGTTCGAGTGCGAGAAGAACACGCCTACCTCATTGACTGCGAGAACGACAAAGGCAGCCTCAATGGCGCCAGCACCACCAAGCAGGTGGCCAACGGCACCCTTGGTGCTGCTGATGTTGACCTCTACAGCTTTCTGCTTTCCACCTGGACCGAGAAGCAGAGCTCTGATGGCACTGTTCTCCGCCGCATCGCCCACAACTGTTGAAGTAGCGTGAGCATTGATGTAGTCGACAGCGGAGGGCGAAAGCCCGGCGTTCTTGAGCGCCTTTTTCATGGCCAAAAATGCGCCTTCACCATTCTCCTTGGGCGCGGTCATATGGTGCGCGTCCCCGGAGCAGCCGTATCCTTTTAGCTCCGCATAGATCCGAGCTCCTCGTGTCTTCGCATGTTCGAGCTCCTGGCAGCAGGGTTAGAACGTGACGTAAAGACAACGTGAACCCAAGAAGGCTATACCTCTAGGACCATCACTGCAGCCCCTTCTCCTACTACAAAGCCCTCTCGATCCGCATCGAATGGCCGAGAAGCCTTCTGCGGGTTGTCATTGTAGCTGGTAGCCAGACTGCGGGCCCTAGCGAAACCGCCAACCGCCAAAGGATGGATACAAGACTCCGCGCCGCCGGCTAGCATCACATCAGCATCACCGCACGCAATGAAGCGGGCTGCATCGCCGATTGAGTGTGCGCCTGTGGTGCATGCTGTAGTCGCTGCGTGGTTCGGCCCCTAAATGTAAAGTTAGTCGTGATAGGGTATTGGAGGGAGGTTTTGTCTGCCTACCATGAGCCCATATCTCATAGAAATGTGACCAGCACCGAGGTTGATCAACAACTTGGGTACAAACAGAGGCGACACTTTGCGATAACCCTGGCACAGTTTCAGCTGACGTTTATCCTTGATGCTCAACAAGGACACTTACACCCTTTTCATACGCCACAACCGTGTCATAAATCTCATCAAAATTACCAATACCCGACCCGAGACATACCCCCTAGACATGATACCTTTAGTAAAAAAAAAAAAAAAAAGAAAAGAGCACCAGTGGAAGGCTTCACTTGGGGTATGTACCGTTGCTTCCTTCTGTTCAAAAGTCGTTGGCATCCAGCCGGCATCTTCTAGAGCCTCTTCCGAAGCAGCCATTGCGTACTGCACAAATCGAGCCATCTTGCGCTCATCCTGCCACGGACAATCAGTTGGGGGCTACCCAATAGCCAGGGCAATACTCACGTCTCTGCTTAACCACTCCGAAGCCGTCCATCCGCCTTCGCCTCGAGCACCTTGCGGCACAACGGCAGCAACCTGACAGGGCACGTCCTTGAACCTAGCATCGCGATGCACGACGTTGACGATGCCACAATGACCGTCTAACAGGCGTTTCCATGTTCGACGGATGCCTGCGTCTCAGCTTAGATGATGAAGAAAAAAACGAAGAAAAAAAAAAGAAAAAAAAGCTACAGGGAAGGCTTGGGTCCCGCTTTCGTGTGCAACTACCCTCCTGGGCAAGTAATTGAAGTTGTACTTGACCTTCCCTTTTGGGCATGCCAGAAGTGGAGACCGTTTGAAGGGACGCCGCGGAGAAGACGCGGGCGGATTGAATTTTGAATCGAGATGTACTCACCTACCCCCAAAGGTGTGACTGCTCCTAAGCCTGTTACAACGACTCGACGCATGGAATCTTGAAGGAAAAGAGTTCTGTCTGCTTGTTTGTCCACCTGTCTGTCGGTCTACCCGTCAATGTAACTTATGTACTGAATTTCGACAAGGTTTTCGGGTACGGTAAGGAAGATTGAGCAAAGCTCCGCGGTAGGTTATTTCGGAGCTAAATCTGGAGCCACCAGACCTGCCCGGTACTATACTCGTGGTAAGGACCGAGCCAAGAATGGAGCAGGAGTGGATGAGAAATTCGACTGAATAAATTGAATAATAATCGATGGAATGATCTTTGTGAACTGGACCTTGAATTTGGAACCTGAAATGCCGAAGAGCAACCCGAAAGGGAAGGTTCTCACGACGTCAGAGAAACCAGGCCACAAGGCCGTCAATTTACCTCTCGGGTTCCTCGATACAGCCAATCAGCAGCGCATCTCCTATCGATAAGCCCGTCCACTTCCTCTCCCCGGTATTCAGGATGAGGGATGAGGGTCTCCGAGGTCATCGAAGAACGAGGGCGAGATTAATTCTTCCGAGTGCTCGAAATTTCTATAATTTCTATAAGAGACACCGCCCCCGAAAGTCTGCTGCATCGAAGCTTCTTTCTTTCGACCCATTTCTCACGGCTCACTCTCCACAATTCCCAAGAGAGAAAGCAGAGTTGCCAATTGCGCGATGAAATCCCTCACCTGGGCAGCCTGTCTGGCTTTGGCCGGCACCGCTCTCTCCCACACTCACCACGACAATGACGAAACGATCCCGGAGCGGTTGCGCGAGGAATTGCTGAAGAAATGGGATCAGGAGGTGGGCCAGCCATCAATTCTTCCCCCTTCTCTTCTTTCTCAACACTAGATTAATGTTCGACGATTTGTGTAGTTTACCTTCTCCGGCATTGCCAGCTTCGCCCACATGAAGCCTGTCAAGTGTCTCGTCGAACCGGATGAGCGTTACGATATTGCCGTCATCGGCGCCCCCTTCGACACAGCAGTCAGCTACAGACCAGGTAAGCTCCAAACAGCCATCTACATCGCCCTATCTTCCCAATGCCCACATGCCTAAACGCCTCCCTCATAAACAACAGGCGCCCGTTTCGGTCCCCGCTCCATCCGTGCGGCCAGCGCCCGCCAGATGGCCGGTACCAGCTACAACACCCGCGCGGGAATCAACCCCTACCAATCGTGGGCAACGGTCAAGGACTGTGGCGACATTCCAATTACCCCGTTCGACAATGGGTTGGCCGAGCGGCAAATGTACGAAGCCTTCCTGGAGCTGGGTTCCCGGCCGGCCGTGACCCGCGCTTCCTCCACGTACGGCACAAAGGGGATTTCGGCCGGAAAGTCGAAGCTCGTCACCCTGGGAGGCGATCACAGCGTTGCCCTTCCTGCCCTGCGTGCCCTGTACCAGATCTACCAGAAGCCTATCACTGTGCTTCACTTCGACGCACATCTCGATACCTGGAACCCCGTGCGGTACTCGGCTTACTGGCTCTCGGAGCAGTCGCACTTCAACCACGGCAGCTTCTTCCACAAGGCCAGCCGTGAGGGCCTTATCTGCAATGCGACCTCCGCACATGCGGGACTGCGCACACGACTGACGGGCGTTGACGATAGTGATTACACCAACCCTGGACCTGAGCAGGGATTCATGCGAATTCACGCAGATGATATTGATGAGCTGGGCCCCATGGGTATCGTGGATCGGATCGTCGAGCGCATTGGTCTAGATCCAGAACAACCCGTTTACTTGTCCGTTGACATCGATGTTCTGGACCCGGCGACCGCCCCGGGTACTGGTACTCCCGAACCTGGTGGCTGGACGACCCGAGAGTTCATCCGTATCCTGCGTGGCATCGAGAAATTGAACATCGTTGGTGCGGATATTGTCGAGGTGTCGCCTAGTTATGACAACAAGGGTGAGACCACGGCTCTGGCAGCAGCTCAGGTTGCTTTTGAGATTATCACCAGCATGGTCAAGGCTGGTGCAGGTGAGGATCTGGGTGGTTGGTACGGACGCAAAGCAACGCCCGAGGTCGAAATTGAGGTCGAGGTTGAGGTTGAGGACGTGGCAGTTGAGACGGAGGTCAAGGACGAGCTGTAAAACGCGATACATGCGATGACGATGCTATGTATATAATGAGTTAGTGAGGTCGTTTAGCAGTATGATGCAGGCACATCCCAGCAAAAACATGTCCTTGTCAATGGTCGGGCCCATATCATCCCAACTCTTCTCTACACGCAACGCAATCTCGAATGGTAGAATCTGAAATGAAACTTCGGTCATCACTATTGTATCTGTGTTATCTAATCCAGGCCTCGCATGAACGATTTGGGTGAAAATTGCACAGCAAATTGTGATAGGCATGATAACATATTGAGGGATGTTAAAAGAAGAAAAGAACACAGATCGAACCATCAGCCAGCCAAAAGAAGACGCCTCGACTTCCAACGCCAATAAAGACGATGAGAGTTTAGAAAGGAAGTAGAAGGGGAAAAGAGAAGAGAAGGAAAGGATCGGAGAAGGCGGGAGGGAGTTAAGTAGACAGTGGAAGGGCAATCGAATGAGCACGGAGAGATGAGCAAAGATAGTGGGAAGGGGTCGGAGGAGTTCAAATCGGGGGCCAATTGTACACGGCATCAATCGGAAGACGAGCTGATGGGCGATATGGTAGAGTATATGTTGGTGACCCTGTTCTTGCTTAGGAGAGCCCTCAGCAGTTTCCCCGGTGCAACCGAGTCACGGCGGGTCTTGCACTCGGGTGTCAGGGCTGCGGGCTGCATGGATGATATTCACTCAATGATCGGAGACAAAAACACATAAAAGTCTCAGGTTAGACGGTGGTCGAGTAAGCCAGCCCCTCCTCCGGGTGAAATGCCCAAAACTCCGTATTGTGAAATAAAACAATCCGTTCCTCCAAAATCATACGACATGTCTGTGATGCCCCGACGACAAGTGTGCAATCCTCTGGCGCGTACCAGCCTGCGATATAGGAGACGTGATTGTTTTACAATACCACACACTTCTTAGATTTCTTGGGCGCAGGCTCCAGGGCGGCAACGATGGCCTTCAGACCGATCTGTCAGCTTTCTCTATATGCAAAATCACGGGCGCTAGCAGAACGAACCTCATCAAAGACGTCCTTGAGCTTGTACTGCGTCAAGGCGGAACACTCCACGTATTTCACAGCGCCCAATTCTTTAGCCATCCGGTCTCCGTCTTCCTTGCGAATGGGCTGCATCTTTTGACGGGAAAGCTTTTCCCGAACAGCGGGATCGTCGCGCAAATCGGTTTGGGTGCCGACGATTAGGCAAGGAACACCAGGGCAGTGGTGGTGAACTTCAGGGAACCATTTTTCGCGGACGTTCTCGAAGGAGGCGGGGGAAGTGACGGAGAAGCAGACGAGAAAGACATCGGTTTGGGGGTAGGAAAGAGGACGGAGACGATCATAATCCTCCTGGCCGGCGGTATCAAAGAGACCCAGGGTGTATGGCTCATCGCCAATCCTAATGCGCAATAATGATAGTCATCGAGTCAGCCATCTATTGAGGAAGAGTCGCAATGTGATCATCTTGGATCCGAAGTCAGGAAGAGAGAGCGACAATGACGCGATCGATGACATGATGCTGCGCATTTCACCCAAGAGCGTTTCAAGGTGCTCGCCGTGCATGGGGGCAGAGGACAACGACTTACATGACCGTGACAGCATAGTTGTCGAAGACGGTAGGAACATATTCCGAGGGGAACTTGTTCGTTGTGTACGAAATTAACAGGCAAGTCTTTCCAACCGCACCGTCACCGACGACAACACACCTGCAAGATAGAAGAGACACAGATTAGCAGGTCGCCCAAGGAAAAGAGTGCCAAAAGACCAGTAGTACACTTAAAGAAAGGGGGCAGAGGCTGCGGGAGGAAGAGAAACGGGGGGTAAAATGGGGGG